TTAGCAGTCAAGCGCCTTAGCCACTACGCTACCAGAGCTCCCGGAGCTAGGATTTAGATCCTAGGATTTAGAGACTTGTCAGTGCTCTATAGTGTTTGATACATTGTTTTCTTAATGTGTTAAATATTTGATTGGTGGTAAAATAATAGTTGCTAAATTCCATCAAAAGAATGATAAGTAAGAGCATGACCAGAATTAGTGGATGTGAACTGTATCATTGTGTTCATTACAGATTAAAATTCCTGAAGATGGACTGATTGCACCTTTGCCAACTTATTCATACTGTAAGCAGATTAGTGCTGAAGAGTTTGATAAACAAAAAGTTTCTACCTCTCAAGCTGCAATTGCAGAACTTTTAGAGAATATTATTAAAAACAAGAGTTTGCCTCTAAAGGAGAAAAGGAAAAAACTAAAACAGGTAAGAAAATAAGCATATTCTCAATCATGTAATTATTTTCTAATATACAGCCATTAATTGTTACTTGCTAACATTTAAAATAAAAAAAAAAAAATTGGGAGGGGTCGCTATGAGGGAGATTTGACTCGATGGCATTGAGTTTTAGCAGAACATTTAGAATCAATTTCTCATTTTAAAATAGGTATTCTCCTTTACTACTAGTGCCTCCAATGATTATGCTTGGGTTAGTCAGATAAAGCAGTTACATAATTTGAATTATAATTAATATCTTTGTGTAACTCATCGTTACCATTTGAAACTTTTAGCTCTAAATCCAAACTCAGTAGCCACATGATTCTGGCAAGTCCAATTCTGGGTTTGAGACACTCAAGGAAATAAGAAAAATATAAAATATACTAGATCCCTGTGATCTTTACAGGCTTTACCTTTGAGAAGGAAAGAGATCTGAAATATGGGGGGGAGGGGAAGGTGTTAGCAGCAGAAGCAAATCCTAGAATGTTAATACTGAGATCTAAGAGGTCTTACCAGCCTCACTTTCACATATAAGAAAAGAGGGGAGAAAAAAGGACAAAGTGAAAAGAGACTCATCTCTGTGATACACCTTTGAGAAAGACAGTGAATTTATTATAAAATGTTGAGCGCTGGCTTCAGCTAGGGAAACAGTGTCATATACCCTCTAATTCCTCACTTCATTTTTAAGTTCCAGAAGGAATATCCCTTGATATATCAGAAAAGATTTCCAACCACAGAGAGTGAAGCAGGACTTTTTGGTGACAAGCCTACAATCAAGCAACCAATGCTGATTTTAAGAAAACCCAAGTTTCATAGTCTAAGATACTGAATTAAAATTATGTAATACTTGTGAAACTTTGATAAATGAAGCCATATCTGAGAATTCAACTACTAAAAAGGAAGTCTATTATTAATAAGGTTTTTAAAATACACTATGTAAAGAGGTACCAAAATAATTTAATAAATGCATTTTCAACGTGAGACTGCTAACAAAATACACTGCATCTCAACTAAGAGTAAATAACAAATGAGAATAAGTGACACTAAATATTTCAACCAGAAATAGTCTTTTTTTGTACAACCATCTTGAAAAGTTATGGTGTTGGATACAAGAATTGTATTTACTTAAATTTTGAAAACTGATATATTCATCAAGATTAAGCTATAATTCTGTTTTTAAAAGAAAAGAATTAGCACATGTGCTTATGGATATTAGCTAAAGTGCTAGTTGTTTAAGGTTACTTCTTATTTCTTAGTGTAAGAATGTGAAGGATATTTGAAAATGAATTCTCAACTGCTAAAGTTGCACTCTTTTGTATATTCTTTTTCCAGTTTTGATCTATTTATATATTTTTGTCTTTTTAAGCTGTGTGTGTGTTTATGTATGTGTGTATAACAAGTTTAAGGTTTGACATTAAACATTTATCCCCACTGCTTCAATCATTCACTGTTTTTCAAAAAATATCTTTTGAATTCTTACAATTACTAAAAGACAGATATATAAGAGAAGTATAAGACAATCATGTATTCATTCAAAAGATATTTACTTAGCACCCACTTCAGATCTGGGAAAGTAATGATAGGCAAAGCAAAAAATCTCTTTCCTTATGGTATTTATTTTCTAATCAAGGGAGGTATACCCTTAAAATAGCAATACATCTACTATAATCAAGTAAGCTGAAGACTGACCTCTTGATTATGGGACTGTTCTCTAACCTAGTGGCTTTAAAATTTTGCTGCACACTGGAATCACCTGAGTAGTTTTAAAACAATTCACATGACCAAGGCCTACCTTAAGCCAGTTAAATCTGAATTTTCAAGGGTGGTAGGAGCCCTGGTGGCACGATAGTTAAAACTCTCAGCAGCCAACCACTGTCCAAACTCATTTGCTGCTGTGCAGGAGAATGATGTGGTAGTTTGATTCTGTAAAGATTATAGCCTTGGAAACCCTACGGGGCAGTTCTACACTATCCTATAGGGTTGCCATGAATCAACTCAGTGGCGTGAATTTGGTTTTGTGGTTTGGTATTTAAAAATCTTTCTTTTTTTTTTTTCAATTGTATAGCTGATTCCAGTGTTCAGCCAACTTTGAGAATCAGTGCCCTAAATACTTTGTGTACTAAATATGAAGATGGAGGCACACTGGCTTTATTTTTCATTGAAAGAAAATATCAAATATAAATACCTCTCATCTTGATGCAAGGTTCTCCAGATTTCTGATTGACATTGTACAAACTTGAAGCAGATTTTCTTCTATTATCCACTCCAAGATTGTTAATAGGTATTGCTTAAGTGTAAAGAAATATGTAATACCTGGGAATAATAGATACTTTACAGTGATCTGATTTCTCAATGTAATTCCATACTATTGATGTATAAAATAATAATGTTCCATTTAACATTGCTTTTGTTAAAAATTTGTTAAGAAATAAGATTACCGTATCTTTAACCCAGAAGCCCTATCTATAAAATTATTGGACAAGATTAGAATTGTTTGTGAGGTATTTATGTTTAAACTTTTCCTTTTGTAAAGGTATGTCATAATACGAATTATGTTACAAACTGAGTTAAATATTGTAGTGGGCTTTGTAACAGTTTAATTTTGTTTTTATATTTATTAAATGGCATTCAGTATATAAATATTACAAAAGATATGTAAAACTTTCATCTGCATTAGTGTGCATGCAATTAGTATTACAAAATACATGGTGTGAAACTTAAAAAATACGAACTCTGAAGTCTGTTTGAATTCTACTCTGCTATGTACCAGTTGAAGGAGCTCTGGTGGCATAGTCCCTAAGGCATTTGACTGCTAACCAGAAGGTTGGTCGTTCATACCCACCAGTCACTCCACGGTGTGAAGACTGGGCAATCTACTTCCATAAAGATTTACCACCTCGGAAACCCAAAGGGGATTGCTATGAGTCAGAATTGACTTAATGGCAGTGAGTTGTTTTTTTGTTCATTTGTTTGTTTTTTTTTGCCAATTGAAGGAGCTCTGGTGGTACTGTGGTCAAGGCATTGGGTTCCTAACCAAAGGTTTGAACCCATCAGCTGCTTTGCGGGAGAAAGACAAGGCAGTCTGCTTCCATGAAGATTTACAGCCTTGGAAACCCTGTGGGGGTTGGAGTTGACTCAATGGCAATGGGTTGTGTTTTTTTGTGTGTGTTTGTTATGTGCCAGTTATGTTACTTTGAACAAGTTACTTAAGTCTTTAAGTCTCTTAAAATGAAGATTATAATATTGATGTTAGGTGCCATCGAGTCAGTTCTTACTCATAGTGACACCATGTCCAACAGAGTGAAACACCCCCCAGTCCTGTGCCATCCTCACAGTCATTGCTATGCTTGAACCCATTGTTGTAGCCACTGAGTCAGTCCATCATATTGAGGATCTTCCTCTTTTTTGCTGACCATCTATTCACCAAGCATGATGTTCTTCTCTAAGGACTAGTTCCTCCTAACAACATGACCAGAATTCAAGGATGAAGTCTCTCCATCCTCCCTACTAAGGAGCATTCTGGCTGTGCTTCATCCAAGACAGATTTGTTTGATCTTCCGGCAGTCCATGGTATATTTATTATTCTTCAACAACACCATAATTCAAATTCATCAATTCTTCTTTGGTCTTCCTTATTCATTGTCCAGCTTTCACATGTATATGTGGTGATTGAAAATGCCATGTCTTGGGTCATGTTCACCATAGTCTACAAGATTTGCCCAATGCAATATATAGTTTGATTGCTTGACTGCTGCTTCCATGGGTGTTGATTGGGAATCCAAGTAAAATGAGTTCCTTGACAACTTCAGTCTTTTCTCCATTAGCATCATGATGTTGCTAATTGATCCAGTTGTGAGGATTTTTGTTTTCTTTATATTGAGGTTTAATCCATACCAATGGCTATAGTCTTTGATCTTCATTATTAAGTGCTTCAAGTCCTCTTTGCTTTCAGCAAACAAGGTTGTGTTGCCTGCATATCTCAGATTATTAATGAGTCTTCCTCCAATCCTGATACTACATTGTTCTTTATATAGTCCAGCTTCTTGGCTTCTTTGCTCAGCATACAGACTGAATAAGTATAATGAAAGGATATAACCCTGATGCACACCTTTCCTGATTTTAAGTAACAGTATTCCTTGTCTGTTGGAATGACTGCTACTTGGTTTATGGTAAGATTCCTCATGACCACAATTAAGTGTTCTTGCAATTCTCATCCTTCACAATGTTATCCATAATTTGTCATGATCCACACAGTTGAAGACTTTTGCATAGTCAATAAAACACAGGTAAACATCTTTCTAGTATTCTCTGCTTTCAGCTAAGATCCATATGATATCCCTCATTCCATGTCCTTTTTAAATGCAGCTTAAATTTCTGACAATTTCCTGTCTGTATACTGCTGCAACCACATTTGAATTATTTTCAGCAAAATTTTACTTGCATATATGTGATATAAATATTAGTAATATTTGATAATTTCCTCATTATTTTGGATTACACTTCTTTGCATTGGGCACAAGTATGGACTTCTTCCTGTTGGTTAGTCAGGTATCTGCCAGATTTCTTGGCATAGATGATTGAATTCTTCCAGCATTGTATCCATTTATTGAAATAATGTATTGTATCAATTCCTGGAGCCTTGTTTTTCACCATTGCCTTCAGGGCCTCATTGACTTTTTCCTTTAGTAACATCCATTCTTGATCATATGCTACCTCCTGAAATGGTTAAACATTGATCAATTCCTTTTGGGACAGTGCCTGTATTCCTTCCATCCATCTTCTTTTGCTACTTTTTATATCTTTCTATGTTTTGCCAATAGAATCCTTCAGTATTGCAACTCAAGGGTTGGAATTTTTTTCTTTAGGTTTTGAGAAATGCTGAGTGTTCTTCCCTTTTGGTTATCTAATTCTAGTTCTTGGTATTTTTCAGTATAATACTTTATCTTATCAAGCTGGGCTTTTTTTTTTTTTTTTTTACTTGTGAAAACAAACACCAAGACATTCACCAACTGCAAAAAGGGCATGGAGGGAACATCTTCTGACCTCTCTAACTTCACAAGATGAAAACAGAATTACCATCAATAGCCCAAGGCTTATTCCTATGGAGCCAGGCTTGCTGCCACCCTCTAGCTTTTTACCAATTCTGATACCAACTGTCCCTCCCATGGTACTCACAACTTCTTTGCTGGGTTCAATAATGTGTTGCAATGGCCACACAGAACTCATGGTCAATACATGGGGTTTATTAGGGAAGTAACAGGCTACAACATGGGTTCAGGAATATGCTCAGGATACAATTCTTTTTTTCCGGACAGTCTCCCCTCTGCTGTGCCCTCAGACACACCTCTCTGGCTCTTGGCCTCTCAGCCTGGCCTCTGTCCTGCTTGGGCAAGGTTACAAAGCTCTTTTAGCTCTGCTGATAGGTACACGTAAGTGCACCCCGCTTCGGCAAGGCTCCTGTCCATTCTGTGGGCCAGGTAAGCCTGCTCCTCTGTCTCGTGCCTCTTGATTCCACTGACACTATCTCTCTGCGGCACCGTCTCTCTCTGCCACTCATCTCTGCCAAGGAAGTCCAGTGCAGGGATGCACTCTACCTCCAGCTCTTCTCTGTTGATTCAGTGAAATCCTCCTTTCTCCCTCTAGGAAGGATCATTTCAAGCCTGGCAGAGTGACAAAACTAACCAATCCCAAAATCAGAGTTCTACACACTTTATTTGCATGGCCCCACCCAATAATCCTATGGGAATTACAAAGACTGGCTAGAAAAGCCATACTGAATAATACACTGCACAACACCAACATAACAACTTCTACATTTATTGGAAATTG